TCCGCTCCCCATCTCTCTCTCTCTCTCTCTCTCTCTCTCTCTCTCTCTCTCTCTCTCTCTCTCTCTCTCTCTCTCCACTGCATGTATCGTACGGGGGAACACCATCAACCACTACCTCTCCCTACTGCCTCCTCTCTACTGCCTGTAGGGTCCGTTATTCACCGCCACAGAGTTGTTGGTGCAAGAGGTCGAAGCTTCGTACCAGCCCCTCAGCGCACCATGACAAGGGGGGACTGGGCAGGGCTGGCTGGCCGGCAGGATAAAACACCCCTACCGGTAGGGCTACCATTTGCCCTCGAATACAACCCCCACCCTCATCACGAATGTGTTTGCAGCTCGATACAGTCATGATGAGGGTGCGTTGTGCTCGGGTAAGGACGGTCATGCCGAGCACAGTTCGCCGGCCAGTCATTGCACCTACCTTTCCCCGCGGCCCCCGCCCCCCGCTCCCCGCCCTCCGCGCAAGACGTGAGGGGGGGGGAGAGGGGGAGGGGAGTTGAACCCGCGACGTCCTGAATGAATGCAAATTCTTGAGCTTACCAACTGAGCGACCCGTCTTGCCCCGAGTGGAACGTACGGGGTCGTTATGGCTGTACTAGGGGTAACTTTCAGTCTAGATGCACCTATAATGACCATACGTTCCGATCAGAGGGGGGGGGGGGKGAAGACAGACGGCCAGTCGCGATCGTGAAGGCCACCCCCATTTTCTGCTTCATACTATCCCATCAACGAAGTCAGCAATTAAAAAAATATTCAGTAATAAAAATACCGGTTAAGAAATACGTAATAAATCAACAAATAACGAAATTATCCAATCACAAATAAAAACTTTCAACGGATCATCAAATCGACCCCATCAGTACTTGGGTCGTTGACGTCATCATACCTCCCCTTCCGAGTCGGCCAATCAATCAATCAACCAACCAACTAACCAATCCATCGATCGCCAATCAACCAATCAACTACCATCTTTCTATCTTTTTTTCCTTAGAAAACGGAGAAAATCAATAAATTGCCATGTCTCACGCTCCTCTTCTTCTTTATATCAGTCGCGGGTCACTCAATCAATCAATCAAACACTCCAACGACTAGTTAATTAATCAATCAATCAATCACACACTCTAATTTCCCGCCGCTCTCGGCACTTCCGCGCCAATCAATCAATCAATCAATCAATCAATCAATCAGTCAGCCAATCAATCAATCAGCCGATCAATTAAACAGTCACCAATGTCTCTGAATGTCCACGCCGGAGAGATCATGATCTCTAACAATCTTCCCCTCGAATAGAACGCAC